GTGGTCACTTGCTGACACTGACTCTTGCTGGCTCCAGCACTTGCTGACACAAAAAGCTTTGTCACTGGCAATGATGCTTAATTCCTCTGCCTGGCACTGTCAGTATTGCTGGGTGACTTGTTGCTTTTGCTTGCACACAGAATCAAATGGTGTTGGCACACAGCTGCTCTGTACAAACATGAAGTGTCTGAAGCTGCTCTGTCCTAGTTCTATTATTTCCCAGTGCATTCTGGGATACAGGACCCTCCACTGTCTCTCCCCAGCACCCAGCTTACACTTTAAAAAAAGTTTCATTAACACACCATAAATGTTATAGGTTTGGTTAAGCTGCATTCCAATTTTAAATTAATGGAGGCGGTTGATAAGCGTTGATGTCTCCTAGACTGTAGGCTCGAAAGGGCAGGGCCCGCTAACCCTCGTGTATCGTGTATTGTTTTGCTACTGTATTGTCTCATGTCTTGTCCCCCATTCTAATGTACAGCGCTGAGCAAACCCTTTGGCACTATATAAATACTCTATAATAACAATAATAATGATGGTGGCACGTTGCTTAATTTGTAACACAACAAAACACAACACTGTTGCTCCTATGTGTACTGCACAGTGCAGTGTTCATTGTAATATTCATGGCAGGCATTGAAGGATGGTTATGAGACTTTTAAAATGCTGATTAAATGCCACTTAACTGCTTCCCCGCTGCCCTATATCAGAACTATATCACTGTATTTGCATCATTGGGATGTCAGTGCAGTTAGTCCATTACCTCCCAGTGTCAGAATGCCCGCCGCAGTCCCACTATAAGTCTCAGATCACCACCATTACTAGTATTAAAAAAAAAAAACCAAAAAAAAAAAACGCTATAACTATCACATAAACCAATCAATTTACATATATTGGGATTTTTGTTTTTTAGCAAAGACATGTAGCAGAATACATTTTGGCCTAAATTGATGATGAAATCTGATTTTTCAAAAAAAGATTTTTACTGGATATGTTTTATAGCAAAAAGTAAAAATAGGGGGGTTTTTGTGTTTTTTCTTTTTTTTTTAAAAAAAGTATCGGTCTTTTTTTTTGTTTATAGCGCAAAAAATAAAAACCGCAGAGGTGATCAAATACCATCAATAGAAAGCTCTATTTGTGTGGGAAAAAAGGACATTACTTTCATTTGGGTGCAGCGTTGCATGACTGCACAATTGTTAAAGTAATGCAGCGCTGTATTGCAAAGAATGGCCTGGTCAGGAAGGGGGGTAAATCCTCTGTTGGGCAAGTGGTTAAACATATGATAATGATGGGCATGTGAACGAGCCCTTAGTAGCATGAGGAGTCGGGGAGACTGAACTGTTACAAAGTGATACGTCTGGTAAGATAGTCCCTTTCATTCATGCTAGGATTTGGCTCCTCTTATAGAGTTTAGGAGCAGATCTGAGTGTCCTATCCAGTCAAATGATACTGCAATCTAAAGAAGTGAAATTATTGTACATTAAAACAGAATGGACCCTGTACAAAATGTGCCAACAGACAAAATGACAATTTTCATCTGATCTGTCTAGTGGTTGTTGGACCAAGCAACAATTGTAGATTTGCACACCCTACCCTGCCTTTCCTGACATCATCTATCAGACCTTTCACAGTCGAACATCAAGTGGCCAAATATAAATTTGTACTGTTTTACCCCAAGATAATTCACATGTCTTGTTCAGTGAATCCCCTTCCTTGCATATGGAAGATTTCTTGGCATGGCTGGTAGGATGAGACAGAGAGGGAGTCATTTGTTTATTAGCAAACACTAAACCTCTGATCCAGGGCAGCCAGTTGAGACTGAGTTTAGCAGAGTTCTGAGACAAATTTACCACTGTAGATTAGACAAATTTTTATTCAAAACGCACACAGAAATAAGAGATCAGAAGTAGGTTTTTCCACACAAATTTTGTAATTAACTTTTCAAAAGAGTTTACATAGCATCAAATTCATTCACGCATGGGGGGATCAAAACAATTGCATGGATTATTATACAAGCAGGAGTGAGTATAAACAGTTCATCCAAAGTGGCATTCCAGGGGTCCAGCCTTTTGGTTCATATTGCAGACTTTGTTTTGGGGCAAAACAGAAGTAGGGTTTTTTTGGGGGGCAAAACAGAAGTAGGGTTTTTTTTTTTTCATGTCCTGGTGCTACTTTTTGCCAGGAGAAGTACTTTGATTGACTACAAGATTTCAACTTGATTCATGCTCTAAAGCTATCTTCTGTTTTGCACTGCCTTGCTGTGCAACAGAATTGATAACCGTGTTTAGCAGCAAGGTCAGTATTGGAAGGATGAGAAAATGTGAACTAGCCCTACCAAAATACAAAAGCAAAAAGCTGCTTACAAAAGGTATACAATAAATCCCTGAAACCTATATATAATGGTTGCAGCGCCAGAAAAACCAATAAGTAAGTGATAATCCACAATATACACTCATTGGCCACTTTATTAGGTACACCTTGTTAGTCCAAAGAAAATATCTCCCCATGCCATTATACCACCACCAGCCTGAACTGTTGATACAAGGCAGGATGGAACTATGCTTTCATGTTGTTTATGCCAGAATCTGACCCTGCCATCTGAATGTCGCAGCTGACATCGAGACTCCTCAGACCAGGCAATGTTTTTCCAATCTTCTATTTTCCAATTTTGGGGAGTCTGTGTGAATTGTAGCCTCCGGTTCCTGTTCTTAGCTGACAGGAGTGGCACTCGGTGTGGTCTTGGCTGTAACGAGTGGTTATTCAAGTTACTGTTGCCTTCCTATCATCTCGAACCAGTCTGCCCATTCTCCTCTGACATCAACGAGGCATTTTTGTCCACACAACTGCCACTCACTGGATAATTTCTCGGGCCATTCTCTGTAAACCCTAGAGATGGTTGTGCGTGACAATCCCAGATAAGCAGTTTTTAAAATGCTCAGACCAGCCCGTCTGACACCAACAACCATACCATGTTCAATATTCCTTTTAACCCCCTTTCTTCCCCATTCTGATGCTCGGTTTGAACTTCAGCAAATAGTCTTTACCACGTCTAGATGCCTAAATGCATGGAGTTGCTGCCATATGATTGGCTGATTAGTAATTTGTGCTACCAAGCGATTGAACAGGTGTACCTAATAAAGTGGCCAGCGAGTGTATATTTAGTGCGAACATAAATGTGTCCTTAAATCAAAAACGAAAAAGTTCTTCTGTTGTAAAGAACAAAAAACAAAGCTCACCAACCTTGTGCATTGCCTCAGTAGGCACTTAATACATTTATTGATAAGAAATATACTCACAAGAGTAGCAATATAAAAGGCATGTAACAACGAACAGCGAAACAGTCTCTCGGTCAAGCTGATGCGTTTCGAAGGGGGGGGGGTTCCCTTTAAAACGCATATCAATAAATTTATTAAGTGCCTAATGATGTAATGCGCAAGGTTGGTGCGCTTTGTTTTTTGTTCTTTATTACAGTTGTTATCGGGTTTCCCCAGCTTTGTGTTTGAGCCGCACAACCTTTGATCAGCGTTGGATGAACATTATACTTTCATCATACTGTCATATTGTTCGATTTGGCCTTCTTCTGATCTGGGTCTCTGAGCGCAGGAGGTGTTGGATTTGTGCTTACAAAAAGTTCTTCCACAGATGAATCGCAGTAAATTGTGAATATCACTTGTGTATCCAGTGCATAAATAATAGATGGTGTCTCTTTGCTCAAACCTTCACCATATATAAGGGAAACAGCCGCTCTGTTTTTTCTTCATCTTATAGGGAGATTTCAAGCTTACCGCAATAAAATGCTGTCTAAGCAGAGAACAGCAATATGCACGTGTTGTATAATATCCTTCAGGACCGCTCTCCTTCCATTACTAAAAACAAAAACTGTATGGGAACATTGTGAAGATTTGCATTCTATAAAATGCCATTTCTTTTCCAAATTTGTAACAAGGCAAAACAAGAGATTTCTTAGGTACTGTTCAAATAACATCATCAGTGTCAAAAAGTTTTGGAGCACTTTATCCTCATGGCCTGAAGTAGCATGTTCTTACCAGGGCTGGATTTGGCCTACCTGATATAGGGGTGCAGTATAAAAATAAAAAAAAAAGGTCAGGAGGTATAATGTCAATGGTGTGACAGAGATACATAGAACCAGTATTCTCTGTTTACTCTGTATTCTTCTGTACCATAACCCGGATGTGACATCTGACAGGTAGTGGAGAGGAGGTGCAGGAGTGAACAGTAGTATGTGTTAAGGTGATTAAACAGAACCTGTGCCCCTTAGGTGTTCTATCAGAGTTCCCCCTTCCATTGGGGTAACTATAAGTACCCCCCATTACATCAAGTGTCCTCATCAGAGTGTCCCTTACATAAAATGTCCATGCCAGAGTGCACCCTTACTTCAATTCCTCCCCTCAAAGTGCCCCCCTACATCCGTTGTCCCCATCAAGTTTCATGGATTAGTTTGCTGCACTCTTCGATATCTTTGTGGGGCACAACTAAAATCTGGGGGGGCATAGCCCAGCACCCACCTAGATCCAGGCCTGGTTCTTACCTCCTTTCTCTCACTGGAGGGATTCTGCTGAATATGCATTCCCTGGCTGGTTTGTACTATTCAATTGTTTCACAGATGGTTCTGATGATGGATCCTCTGTGCAGCCTGTGCTATGGTTGGCGGTATGGTCAGAGAGTATATCTGTTACAGCTGACCTGTACAGGGAATCACTAGAGACAAGGACCTAGGACAGCTGGGAATACAGAACTCTTGGCAGGAGTATAGTGCAGCACTGGGCTGCTGATCTTACAGGCAACTTAAAGCATCTGTGGAAGAACTTTTTTGTTTTTGATTTATGGACACATTTAGGTTCACACTAATTATATGTGATGGATTATCTAGATCCACTTTATTATTTAGCACTACAATCATTCCATAGTGGAATGATGAGGTTGGCTTTATTTTAATATTACATGGACTGTGTGAACATCTTTTTGTAATGTGTTTTCAGGAGTCGGGAGACAATAACCAATTTTGTTGGAGGAATCTCTTCTCCTGCATCAACCTGCTGAGAATCCTTAACAAGCTCACCAAGTGGAAACATTCCCGGACCATGGTGAGTGTCCAAACAAAAGATAGATATGCCGAGCATTCATACAATGTACCTCTAGATTCAAAGAAGCTGGAAAATGATTGATTGCATGCATGCAATACGTGCACAAATCCTACCGATAAATATCGCAAAATGCCTGCTAATCTATTCGCATGCAGAAGTAAATAATTTGAGATGCTGCATTCCAAATGCTTGGTAGGGTTGTACCACAGTCATGGGGTAAGTTTGTGCATTTGAAGCTGACCGGGCACACACTGACTCTTTTTGCATTCATTTTGTATATCTTTTCCATATGCGTCGTGAAAACAACTTAGTTTCCCATCAATATTGGAAGTTTGTATGCCGCAGTATTTTTGATCTGGACTGTGGCTGTATTAGAAAACATGAGCTTTAAAGCTTATCTAAAAGGAAAACTTTTTTTGGAAAATGTAGGTAATAATTAGAAACGCCTCTAAGTTATGTGTTTTTGACGGGAAGTCCTCTTAGACAGTTGTCACTGGAGCTGACCTTTCAACTGGAAGATTTTCCCTAACCGGTTTTAGGGACAACATTTTTGACTTTTCCATCATTGTCTGTTCCTGTGACCAAAAAAGGGTAGTGAATCTCCTTAGCAGGGACACAGGCTGCAATACATTTTTTTTTCCAGAGGTTCTAACCCATCCATATTGTATCAAAATCAAAAACTTTCTTTTTTTGTTTAGGATACAACTGCATTAGTTATAACCTTTTGTCCCATTTGCTGTATTTAAAGTGTAATAAGATATGATGTCACTTTGGTTACAGATGTTGGTGGTGTTTTAAGTCTGCTCCCATATTAAAACGAGCACTGAAGGTTAAACAGGCCATGATGCAATTATATGTGTTAAGACTGCTGAAGCTCCAGACTAAGTACCTGGGGAGACAGTGGAGAAAGAGCAATATGAAAACTATGTCTGCTATCTACCAAATGGTGCGGCATAGAATGAATGATGACTGGGCCTATGGCAACGGTAAGTAATTACCCATAATACATCAACCATTTACCTTTGTGAATTATTAAAATTTTCAGAATAATATTGAGCAGAAATGTACACACTATTGCAGTGTATTGGCTTATTGGAAGTTATCAGTGGTTTTCTGTGTTTAAATATATATATAATATGTGTTTTGATTTTATATATACTTTTATTTTTTTTTTTTGTCAGTGTCCAATCACCTGACGTAGTTTTATATAACACAGTTTTATTAATTTTAGGAGTCTCTGCAATCCGATTTTGTACATAGAATAAAATCAATTTTCTATAGTTCATTGTGGGACATAGGTTCCAATGCTCTGTGTCTATGATCATGCTATTGCTTTTCCATGCTCAGAGTAGGAGGGGTAAAATTGGCACTGCTTTTTTTTGTTTGCCAATATCCAAACATTCTCTAGGAAGCAGTATAACCTAACCGTCCCTGAATTCCTGTGTCCATCAATGAACTCCAGAAAACAGATTTTACCACAAATAAAAAAAAAAAATCTGTGATTAGCAGTGCCTTGTTTTTCTAACAGTTGTCAGAGTGAGAACATATTTTTCACTCTTTTTAAAGCTGAATTTCTGTAATTATCTGTTTTTGTCTTTTACCTACATTGGGCTAGCTTGGATACATGTAAATATCCATGGAGGACTGCTGGGGGGGATGATGTAGTAGTTTGTGCTATATATATATATTTCATTTCAGCATGTAACCAAGCTGGCTCCATGAAAGTTTAAATTATAAGATAATGCCTGGAATTCAACATCACAGCCCCACCCCTGGGATAAACTAATCCTTATACTAAATAATAATACTATCTAAAAGTCCTTTTACTTACCAGTAACCACGGTCATGTGATGCTCCAGCTCCTGAGCCTTCTGCTTTTCTGAACTGAAATTAATGCTAAAGCACAACACGTGTCAAGCATTTTTTCTAAGGATGCACTGATATGATACCCTTTTTTGATCGGCAAGTACGAGTACCAATACTTTCGGTCAAGTACTCGCCAATACAAAGTACCGATAATTTTGCAGTGCGATTTACTTCAATACGAAATGTATGGACGCACGCAAATTGCATGGCAAAGAATAGAATGTGATTCCTGTCTAAATTGAATGCTGTTTCCCCTTTGCTCCTTTGTGAACCCAGGCTTGTCAAAGCTGCTTCACAGGCCTGGGGATTTGAAATCTCCGACACTTTCTCTCCTCTCCTTGCAGGGCTGACAGTACAGGCTAGACAGCTTCTGACTGGTCAGCACCGTCCATGTGACCGTTCTGACTAATCAAAAGCTCTCTAGTCCAAACTGTCATCCCTGTAAGGAGAGAAGAGAAAGCCGTGGGGAGTGCAAATCCCTGTGGCTTTCTCTCCTCTTCTACAGCTGAGAATACGGAGTATCTGCCACCAGGTATCTATCCCTACACGCCCACTCTTACAAAATGTAGTTTTTAAAATATTTCATTTATCAAAAAGCTGTGCAAACCTACCTGGCCCTATGTGAAAAAGTAATTAACCCCCACCCCCTTGCTAAATCGTGAACGAACTGTGGTTAGCCACATTTTTTGGAAAGCTGAATTAGATTTCACTTTGCGCATGCAGGCCTAATTACCACCAGTCCTGTTGAATCAAAAAATCTATTAAATAGAAGCTGTCTGACAAAGTGAAGCACGCTAAATGATCTCAAACTGCAACACATCATGCTGCAATCTAAAGACATTCAAGAACAGATGAGAAAACCTAAACAGGCCGTTCATGCTTGAAAACCCCTCCAGTGTGGCTGAATTGAAACAATTCTGCAGAGAGTGGGCCAAAATTCCTCCATAGGAATGTGAAAGACTCATTACCATTTATCGCAGATGCGTGATTGCAGTGCAGGGCACAGCCAGTTATTGGGTTTAGGGGGCAATTACTTTTTCACGTAGGGCCAGGCAAGTTTGCATATTTTTTTTTTTCCCCCCCTTACAAAATGAAGTTTTTTTTAAATTTATAATTTAATTTATTATCTACTTTGTTTGACGATCTGAATCATTTAAGTGTGACAAATATGCAAAAATAAATAATCAGGAAGGGGGAAAATACTTTTTCACAGTATTGTATGTGTGCATGGACACATAGACTAATATAGAGGGGTATTTAGAGACAGAAAAAAAATTACAGATCCCTCTAAAAGCAGAATTAAAAACATGTGCATGAGCTCTAATAGTTAGAGGTGAGTGAGAGAATTGTTTGTGCCCTAACCTTAAACCTGTTAAAAGGATCTTTCTTTATCATACATCACAGGACAAAGTGGGCTATTCATGACTATGTGGGTTATAGGCCACCTATAGGTGAATGGACACACGCTGACTAGAGAGGAGGTCCTCCTCTATATAATCCCTCCTATATAGGAAGTACTTCAGTTTTTTTTCACCAGTGTCTGTAAGGTGGATAGTCACTGAATGTGTTGCTGTGCTCTTGGAGCATACCTGAAAGTCCAGAACGGTTCCATTAGAGAATCAGGGACTATCGGATCTATTCGGAAGGCTATGAGCTAAAATGGATGGTACCCAAGCATCGCTGAATAAGGAGAAGCACCCTTGAAGTTTTGCCTGTAATGCAGCCCGCGCAGATTGAACCCTGTGCAGTTTTAAATCTGACCAAGGCGCTTCCAGTGGGGTGCTATACGTGTCCAAGGCAGTGTCCCCTCAGAATGGGGACTGAGCCCTTGAAAGTCTGTATGACAATGCCCGCCATGAAGGTTGATGTTTGACGGAAATCAGGGACCTGATTTTTTTTTTTTTGTTCCCGAGATGTTCTTGCTCTTCTGTTGTCGGCCATTAGAGGGATTACAGTCGACACGCATGTGCAGTAGCAGCTGGAAATGGAAGTCGGCCATATTTGTTTATCTGGAGGCCAGGACATACATGGGCTGCTGCTGGGGAATCTCCTGTGGCCAGGATACAGAGCGGACTATTCTGTAGGGGCATGTGAGTACTCCTCTGAAAGGGAAGCATGGACCAGTCAGTCAGGAGCCACCCTAGGTGGCTCATAAGGCAGCATTTGCATTGAGCGGTTTTACTTCTGTGCACTACTTGCATAGCTGTATCTTGAGATCTGTGTTTACTAGTGGAGGTGCACGGCTTTGCGCTATCAGAAGTAATGTCTTCCAGAAAGCGGAGTTGGGGAGGAGCAGCAGGAAAGGGCACTAATGTACCACCGCCAGGTCCTGAGGAACCTAGCCGAACATCCCTGTAATATCCTCTCCTGACAGGCCATAAGTGACTGGGCAGTCTGAGCCGCTGTGCCTATCTGGAATTGTGGCTGCCATTGGGGCTTCTGCCTTAGCATATGTAACCAAGGATGATCTTGCTTCAGCCTTAGCGGGTTTAGAAGATAAGATCGCTGGGGTGATTGCATCGGTTTCTCAGGGGACTAAGAAGCGGAATAGGTCCCCACTAGAACCACAAATCCTGGAGCAGGAATGGGTGGAGCCTGAGGATGAAGAAGAGTTGAAGGAAGGTCAGGTAGTAGAAATTTCTGTCATCACAGCCTGAGCAGACGCAGGTGGTCCCTGCCTCCCAGTGTCAGAGATTTTTAGTCCAGGATCTCACTGATATGGTAAGGTCTGCATTGGGGCTATCTCTGATAGAAACCTCTGAGGTTACTTTTTCTTCCGAGGGAACTTTGAAGCCTTCACAGAGTACTCAGGCCTTTTCCAGTGCATCCTCTTCTGGCGCAAATTATGTATGCTGACTGGGATCACCCAGACAGGGTTTTTCGTTTTAGCAAAGAGGTTCTCTTTTATTACCACAAGGAACAAAAGTTTAAGAAATGGGGGTTGCCTGCAGGGAATGCAGCTATTTCAGAAAACCTGTACGTTATCCACAGGACATGTTAAAGATTTAACTTATCCACTGGATCCTTGAAAACCTGTACATTATCCACAGAACATGTTAAAGATTTAACATGTCGTGTGGATAACAAACAGGTTTTCATGGACCCAGCAGATAAGAAGCTAGAGTCTCTCCTTAAGGTCTCCTTCTCCCTGGCAGATTCTGTCGCACAGCCAGCTGTGGCAACTATTGGCATTTGGCAGAGTCTTTCTGACTATGTCAAGCAGCGGATTGGAGCATCATCAGTGCAGGGGGAATGCTCGGCCGAGGATTTGGAGGATGTTCCACATGCTTTGTTTCACTGTCGATGCTCTTAAGGATTCAATTCATCAAATTTCTCACTTGGCCCTCTTATCAATACACATGCGCAGGTTTTTGTGGCTGAAGAGTTGGTCGGCAGAACTGCCATGCAAAAAATAGTTGGCAGGTTTTCCTTTTCATGGGGTACGGCTGTTTCGGGTAGATTTGGACAAATATATCCAAAAGAGTTCAAGAGATAAGAGTGCTCTCCTTCCCTCTAAGAGGAAATCTAAACGCCATTCTTTTAAAGTGACAGGGGCTTTGGTTGCTGGGCCCTCATCTACCAGGCAGTCATTTTGCCACACACAGGTCCCAAGGTCCCAGCCTCCAGAGGTAGATCTCAGAATTAAAATCCAAGGAGGCCCTGGGTGAAAAAGTCGTCTGACAGATCCAAGGTCCGCCTACTTATGAAGGAGCGCCCCCACTTGTTTGGGTGGGGGGGAAGGCTTTTAAATTTTGTGGCCACATGGAGAGCTCTAATACAAGAAAAATGGGTAATTTCCATGATTTCTCTGGGGTACAGGCTAGAATTTCAGGTATTGCCCTCTCCCCGGTTTTTAAGGTCAAATGTACCAATAAATCCAGAGAAAAAAGCTTTATTTCAGGCACTCGATTTTTCAGGGGTTTTATTTAAACCTGTTTACCATCCCAAAACCAAATGGGGATGTAAGGCCTAGTTTGAACCAATTCCATACGAAAGGATCGACATTTACGAACTGATTTAACCCTTTGAGATCCAGTCAGTAGTGACCTCCCTACAGGAGGGAGATTTTTTTTATGTCCATAGACATCAAGGACGCATACCTGCATGTACCGATATTCATTCCTCACCAAAGATTTCTGTGGTTTGAGGTAGGGGCTCCGCATCTCCAGTTCATAGCACTATCGTTTGGGCTGGCTACGGCTCCCAGAGTTTTCACAAAAATGTTTTCTCCTTTGTTGGGGCTACTGAGTACTACAGGGAGTATCGGTCAAAAGTTATCTAGATGATCTCTTGCTCAGAAATCGGTCAGTGCCAGATCTGAAGCAGGATGTGGTCCTTACAATGCAGATCCTGGAAAAGCTGGGCTGGGTGCTCAACTTCAAGAAGTCGGCCCTGGAACCAATGCAGAGCCTGGAGTATTCGGGGATGGTCCTAGACACTGTTCAGGGAAAGCTATTTCTGCCTCCAGCAGAAGGTTGTGCCCTGGGGAACGAGGTTTGCATTTTGAAGGCTAAGAGGTATCCTTCAATTCGCCTCTGTATGAGCTTGCTGGGGAAGATGGTGGGAGGAGTCTATTCCGGTGATATGGATTGCTCCAGCCTGGCCCAGGAGGGACATAGTGAGGATGGCAGTAGATGGGCCGTGGGCCCTGCCGTATCGGCCAGACCTATTGTCTCAAGGACCTATATTGCACCCAGCTTTACGGTCACTAAGTTTGATGGCATAGCTATTGAAACCCAGATCCTGAAGGATAGGAAAGTGCCAGATTCTATCATTCCCATCATGTTGGGTGCTAGAAAGGAAGTTTCTAGGAACATTTATTACAGAACCTGGAAGGCTTACATTGTCTGGTGTGAGGTTCATAAATGGCACCCACAAAAGTATGTGATTGGCAAGATTCTGTCATTTCTTCAAACGGGGTTTAACATATCCGCTGGTCCTTAAATGGTGCCATTTAAGGGCCAGATTTCAGCATTCGCTATTTTTTTTTTTTGCAGAGGCCCATTGCACCTCACTCCTTTTGTCTGCACTTTTTTTTACAAGGAGCGATGCGTATGGCTCCTCTTCCTGTCAGGTTGCCTTTCTGTCCTTGGGACCTGAACCTTGTTTTGGAGGTTTTGCAAAAGCCACCATTTGAACCTATTGGAGAGATTCCACTGGTCCTGTTGACTCGTAAGGTGTTGTTTCTTGTGGCAATCACTTCTGCGAGAAGGGTGTCCGAGCTGGCAGCTCTATCTTGCAGAGAACCATTTCTGGTTTTGCATCATAAGTTGGTGTTGCGACCTCATCCGTGCTTTTTACCAAAGGTGGTTTCTAGCTTTCATCTCAGTCGGGACATAGTTCATTCTTTCCTAAGCCTCAGTCAGCACAAGAAAGATCTCTGCATACCTTGGATGTGGTTCGTGTTTTAAGGGTCTTCTTGAAAGTGACAGCACAGTTCAGATGCTCTATTTGTGCCGCCAGAAGGGCCTAGGAAGGGGCAGGCGGCATCCAAGGCAACTATTTCTCATTGGATCCACCAACTGATCATTCAAACCTATGGTTTGAAAGGTAAAATCTCACAGCTTCGGGTGAAGGCACATTCTTCCAGGAATGCTGGGGCATCTTAGGCAATCCACCATCAGGCATCAGTGGCTAAGGTTTGCAAGGCCGCTTACATGGTCTTAGTTTACACTTTCACAAGGTGGATGTTGGAGCCACAGAGGATTCGGCCTTTGGCCGCAGTGTTTTACGGGCGGCTCACAGGACACAGAGGTCCCGCCCCTCTTTATGAAATTTTCATTGCTTGCTTGCTAAAAAAAAAATGAAGTACTTCCTGTATAGGAGGAGTTATATAGGGGAGGACCTCCTCTTTGATTGGTTGGCCAGTGTCCATTTAACTAAAGGGAGCCTATAACCCACATAGTCATGAATATCCTGTTCTGTGTCCTGTGATGTACTACAAGAAATCGATTTTACATGTATGTAGAAAAAAAATCTAATTTTTGGCAAACTTACCAATTAATCACATGGCATTACAGTGGTGCCTTTTCTGCAACAGGAGCTTGAATTAAGCCATGTATGTCCCTCAATAACAATTTATAAGATATGATCCCTACCTAAGTTGTTAATTATATTAGATACCAATACAAACTACTGTAAGTGCTTAAGTAGCACTGTTATGTGAATTGGTTAACATAGTAAATAATCACTACAGTTTCCTGCCATAAACGTCATTTGTTACATTTGTTATCTTTAATATGGTTTTTATAGCAGTATTTATTTTACTATATTTTCTTTAGATATTGATGCCCGACCTTGGGACTTCCAGGCAGAGGAGTGCACATTACGGGGTAACATAGAAAGCTTTAACAGCCGAAGATATGAGAAAAACCCAAACTGGGAGTTTGCCCCTGTAGACAACTGTCTGCAGAGTGTTTTGGGCCAGAGGATTGAGCTTCCAGAGGATTTTCATTACACCTATGAGCTCTGGCTGGAAAGAGAAGTGTTCTCCAAGCCAATCCAATGGGAAGAACTGCTGCAGTATTCCTGACTACCGAGCATAGCCATTTAGTCACATCTTCTTGTGTACTATATGGTGCTTTTCTGACACTGTGTAACATGGGAAACCCAGAGTTATGAGTAACTGGCAGGCATTTTCTCTGCTATGGGTCTAGTTTGAAGAAAAGCGCTTAATGAATGTTTTGGAAAGGTCAGAGTCATTTTCTATTTGCACTGAAGAGGGGTAACTCTGGTTTTTGCCAGTACTTTGTTTTAGTTGGAACAGATCTGTTTGACATGAATGCCGTCCAAAGGCCCCAACTACCTGATGCCTTCGATTCAAGTGCCTAGCCTTTATATGATATCATACTAGTTGGGTAATTAGCGCCAATATTAGTGTGAAGCTTTTGGGTTTTTTTAGCGATTTGTCAGGTAAATAAACTTGTCTCTTTTGTGTGTTTTCCACATTGTGTATGTAAAGGAACTCTAGAAATGTAAAATTTAGCTTTAATATAAAAGTGATTTTTAGCCTGTGTTTTTATTTTTTCTGAACAACCCAACATGTTGCACAAAACATCAAAGAAGTTAGGTGAACGTGCAAGTGAGGTCTCTTCCCCCCTCAAGGAAGAAATCCCATCATCATACTCGAGGTATTTATATGGGACTTAGCTAGTGTCTACATGCATTTAAGGCTGCATTCTCACTGTAGTTTTTCATTAACTTGTGCAAAAATGCCCGATTTCGTGTGTGATTACAAAATGTGCAAAAACCACTTGTAGTGCTTGTGGCTTCATTTATTGTTAATGACACCCCAAATACCGCAAAACAATCATGTGTCTTTTGCTAGAAAAATGCATGACAAACACTCCAAAGCATGGTAGAAAAATGCTCAAAGCTCATAAAAGTGTATGAGCCACTTTCCTGCACATAAGGCTGCCCATTGAAATGAATAGGCTATCCTATGCAAGTATTGCAGCACTGTGCAAAAAAGGCCCAAAAAAACACCTATTAGTTATACCTGCAGTCACGCATTAGAGGGTGAATAAATAAGCAATTCACAGGAGGCTTTGTATTCTACAAATGATTACAAATCTTCTTCTGATTGGCTGAGGCACAGCTCATGATGTCATCTTTTCATAACTGCCTCTCCGCCTCAGCCAATCAGAGTAAGCCTTGTATATATTCATAGAATACAAAACTTCCTCTAAATGGCTGAGCAGCGCTCTGCCCAACTTCATTTTGTTCTGGGAGCAAGATGGGAAGTTCACAACGCACACAGCCACTGCAACTGTTAACTGCTTCCCAACCGCCCTATAGCAGATATACAGAGCACACGGGTGTTCAAAATCATGTGTATATATACACGTGATTTTGCATTTCCTGATAGGGGGTGCGCGCCCCACCCACGGTGCCATTTGCGGCCGCTTCTGGCAATCACAGGGTCCCAGCTGGTGATTACTCGCCGGCGCCCGGGGATTGCCGAGCATCTCCGACAGGTAGGAGAATTGTTTTGTAAACAAAACCGTTGTCCTCCCTGTCAGCCCATGCAAAGCAGTTCCCCACAGTGTCAGAATACCCACCGCAGTCCCGCTTTAAGTCACTGATTACTGTCATTACTAGTAAAAATAAAAAATTCCAGTATCTATACCGCCATTTGTAAATGCCATAACTTTCACTTAAAAAAAAAAATCCCAATATTTGTGAATTAATTAGTTTAAGCAAAGACCTGTAGAAAAATTCATTTTAAAAATTCTTTTAGTCAAAAATATTGGGTGTTTTTTTTTCTCAAAATTGTCGGTATTTTTTTATAGTGCTAAAAATTAAAAATGCACAAGCGATCAAATTCCACAAAAAGCTTTATTTGTGGGGAAAAAAGGATGTAAAAATTCATTTGGGTGCAGCATTGCATGACCACGTAACGCAGTGCCATAATGCAAAAAAAAATGACCTAGTCAGGATGGGGGGTAAATCCTCAGCAGAGCAAGTGGTTAATAGTTTGTTTTGACCAGCTTGGCCCAAATTAACTATTTAAAGTTGAATAAAACATGGAGAAGTAGGGCCAAGCCTCTTTTAGCCTTACTCTTCTGTAGGTCACAGGACTGCACTTTGTTCTGTACTCATGTGACCCATATTCAGCCAATAGTGGGCTAAAATCTGCTATCAGCTGACATTACACAGCTGGTCCAGATTGGAGAGATCCCGAGACAGAGGAAGAATCTGCTAAAAAAAAATAGGACCCGAACAAAAAGGAAACTACTGGGGCTTTATCGGGCACCATACCAACAAAACGCCATATACAGATTATAAACCGTGTATAGCTTTATTAACCCCTTCACGCCTAAGGGTAAAACAAATCTAAATGCCTAAGCACAATTCTGCAATGTTAACATGTGTTAGTAAAACCGTACATATCATCACAACTACTTTGTACATCCAGGTGGATTATACCTTGATTTTATTCAGGGCAAATTGGGCTTTCATTTGGTGGTAAATGGTAATGGATAACTGCAGATTTTTTTTTTTTTATTATTATCAAAGGAAAACTGGCCCAAAATAGTAAAAAAAAAATATATATTTTTTTTTATTTAGCTGTGCTTCTTGTTATGACCATAACCTACCATCAAAAAAACAACCCAAAATAAATTCTCCAGCTCTTGACTATCGCAGCGATACCATATATGTGTATGTTATTTGTTGTTTTGTACCCGTAGTGCAGCCCAGAAACAATAGTGCGCATTTTGTTTTTTCTTTTTTTTTTGTTTTTTTTCCTTATAGCTAAAACACACTGACATTAAAACTGATACCAATTTTTTTTTTTAATCCTGACCTTTGACCTTGACCCAAACACTAACCCTGGCACTGAACTAGATCAAACCTTGATCTAGGTATTTTTCTTTATTTTTTCTTTTATTTGTTAATTTTTTTTTTTTTTTTTTTCTCTATGCCAGGAGTTAGAGATACAATGTATCTCTTTTCTCCATTCATAGAGAGAAAAAAAAACAAGGGGGCTGGGCTGTGCAGTGACTGATCACAGTAATAGCCAATCAGAGGCCATCACAGCGATCATGTGACCTGGAATTGGGAGTCCCAGGTCCCGATCGTTAGAACGGGACTCGGGGCTCTCAGTGACACCGCAATCTCTGTGCTGGGAGCGTGCCCCCAGTACAAAGACAGGTACGCAAATATGCGGTCCCACGGAAAAAAGCCCAGTTCCGTGAGACCGCATATTTGTGTGACCTCGGTGTGAAGGGGTTAAACACCATTAAAAGTACAATTGAAATAGGAGATTTGAGCATAAAATATAGCTCAGTGTATAAAAAAAAACATGTAGCCGTTACCTATTGTGACATCAGGCTTATTTCCAAAAGATTCCCATATACAGTGCCTTGAAAAAGTATTCATAGCTATTGAAATGTTCCACATTTTGTCATGTTAAAACCAAAAACAATGTATTTTATTGGGATTTTATGTGATAGACCAACACAAAGTGGTATATAGTTGTGAAGTGGAAGGAAAATGACTTTCAACATTAATTACAAATAAATATCTGAAAAGCTGTTGAACTGTTGAGTCCCATGAGGCCAGGCAAGACTCCCACAGGCAGAGGCATGATGGACTTGTAGTACTTTAGCAGCTGAAGGGCAATAGTTTGGAGACCCCTGAATTCTAAACTATTCCATTGTAGCTCTGGCTGTATGTTTAGGGTTGTTGTCCTGCTGGAAGGTGAATCTCCGCCCCGGTCTCAAGTCTTTTGCAGACGATAACAGGTTTTCTTTCAAGATTGCCCTGTATTTGGCTCCATCCATTTTTCCATGAACTCTGACCTGTCCTTGCTGAAGAAAAGCATCCCCAAAACATGTTTCACGGTAGGGATGGTGTGTTCAGGGAGATGTGCAGTGTTAGTTTTCCGCTACACACACTGTTTTTAGGCCAAAAAGTTACATTTTGGTCTTATCTGACCAGAGCATCTTCTTCCACTTTTGCTGTGTCCCCCGCATGGCTTCTCACAAACTGCAAACAGGACTTCTTATGGCCAGATTTGTGGAGTGCATGACTAATAGTTGTCCTGTGAACAGATTCTCCTGCCTGAGCTGTGGATCGCTCTAGCTCCTCCAGAGTTAGCATGGGCCTCTTGGCTGCTTCTCTGATGCTCTCCTTGCCTGGCTTGTTGGTTTAGGTAGACTGCTATGTTTTGGTAGGTTTGCAGTTGTGCCATACTCTTTCTGTTATCGGATGATGGATTGAACAGAGCTCCGTGAGATATTCAAAGCTTAGGATATATTTTTTTTTTTTATAATAACCTAACCCTGCTTTAAACTTCTCCAAAACTTTATCCCTGACCTGTCTGGTGTGTTCCTTGGCCTTCATGATATAGTTTGTTCAGTAATGTTCTCTAACAAACCTGTGAGAGCTTCACAGAACAGTTGTATTTATACTGAGATTAAATTACACACAGACTCTATTTACTAATTAGGTGACTTCTGAAGGCAATTGGTTCCACTAGATTTTAGTTACGGGTCTCAGAGTAAAGGGGGCTGAATACAAATGCACGCCACACTTTTCAGATATTTATTTGTAAAATTTTGAAAACTATTTATCATTTTCCTTCCACTTCACAATTATGTGCCACTTTGTGTTGGTCTACATGAAAGCCCAATAAAATACATTTACATTTTTTGTTCTAACATGAATAAATGTGGAAAATTTCAAGGGGTATGAATACCTTTTCAAGGCACAGTACATTACAAAGGGTGTATGTACAGCTTATATATAATGTCTTGAAAATTTTCTCCAACACGTTTTGCAGGACAAAAGCCTGCTTCCTCATGGAGGGAGACTTAACACACAATTCTAAAATTATAAATAAAGCAATAATAAACAAACTGAAACTTATATATGAAAACAAAAGCCATCTGTCACCAAAATATTTACATTTTACCAGTTGATGGCATCTAGTTTTCCATGAGGCAGCCAAGCAGCCATGATCGTATGAATCCCAGAAGCCTCTTCATTTAGCAGTTATAAAAAAAAAGAAAGTAGATATGGGCCTACCAATAATAGGATTAGGCCCATTCAGTCTACAAGAAAATAAGAAATTATACAATTTATAAAAAAAAAAATTGGGGGGGGGGGGGGGGGGGGAAAGAGGGAGAGGAGAGACCCTCCCACCACCACCCCTTGTCACTTAAAGGTATGGAGCTATACAGTGGATATAAAAATTTTACACACCCCTGTTAAAATGTCAGGTTTCTGTGATATAAAAAAAATGAGACAAAGGGAAAAAAGTTCTGTAATGATTTCTACCTGTAATGTGACCTATAAACTGAAATCTTTTAGGGGGGGGAAGTAAACATAAAAATTTAAAATAATGTGGTTGCATAAGTGTGCACACCCTCTTATAACTGGGGATGTAGCGGTGTTCAGAATTAAGTAATCACAGTCAAAACCATGTTAAATAGGAGTCAGCACACACCTACCATCATTTAAAGTGCCTCTGATTAACCACTTGCCAATCTCGCTATAGCCGAATGACTGCTACAGCGCGGTTGTCCAGTTCTGGGAGGGTGTTACATGACTTCCTCCCAAAACGCGCACTCCCAGTGGCATGCATCTGGCGCTCTCCGTGATCGCTGTGTCCTACGGACACAGCTGATCACATGATGAGGTAAAAGGCCAATCACAGCAGCCTTTTATTGTGATCAGCTGTGTCCAATGACAACAGATCACCAAGTAAATACAGCTGCTGATTATCAACTGCAATTTCCTGCCTCATCAATGCATATCGGTGAAGGAGAAAAATTACTTGTTTGCTAAATTTTAGAATAGAAACAAAGAAAATAATTTTTTTTTTTGCTCTTTTTTTTATTTATATAGCAACAAATAAAACACCCAGTGGCGATTAAATACCACCAAAAGAAAGCTCTATTTGTGTGGGAAAACAATGATAAAAATGTCATATGGGTGCGATGTTGCATGACCGTACAATTGTCATTCAAAGTGTGACAGCACTGAAAGCTGAAAATTGGCCTGGGCATGAATGGGGTAAATGTGCTCAGTAGGAAAGTGGTTAACCCCAAATAAAATTCAGTTGTTCAAGTAGGTCTTTCCTGACATTTTCTTAGTCGCATCCTACAGTAAAAGCCATAGTCCCGTAGAGAGCTTCTAATGCATCAGAGGGATTTCATTGTAAAAGGTATCAGTCAGGAGAAGGGTACAAAAGAATTTCCAAGGCATTAGATATACCATGGAACACAGTGAAGACAGTCATCATCAAGTGGAGAAAATATGGTGGAACAGTGACATTACCAAGAAATGGATGTCCCTCCAAAATTGATGAAAATGATGAGAAGAAAACTGGTCTGGGAGAATGCCAAGAGGCCTATAGCAACATTAAAGGAGTTGCAGGAATATCTGCCATATGTCTGGGCTATGGGGTAGAGTGGCAAGACGGAAGTCTCTTCTTACGACTAAAAGCATCCAAGCCTGGCTAAATTTTGCAAAAACACATCTGAAGTCTCCAAAAAGCATGTGGGAAAATGTGTTTATGGTCTGATGAAACCAAGGTTGAACTGTTTGGCACAAAAATAACACTGCACATCCGCAAAAGAACACCATACCCACAGTGAAGCATGGTGGTGGCAGCATCATGCTTGGGGCTGTTTTTCTTCAGCTGGAACTTGTGCCTTAGTCAACGTGGAGGGAATTATGAACAGTTCCAAATACCAGACAATATTGGCACAAAACCATCAGGTTTCTGATAGAAAGCTGAACATGAAGAGGAACTTCATCTTTCAGCACGACAACCCAAAGCAAACATTCAAATCAACAAAATAATAGCTTCAACAGAAGATAAAAGTTTTGGAATGGCCCAGACCTGAATCTGATCGTAAATCTGTGGGGTGATCTGAAGAGGGCTGTGCACAGGAGATGCCCTCGCAATCTGACAGATTTGGAGTGTTCCTTTTTCAAGGAAGAGTGGGCAAATATTGCCAAGTCAAGATGTGCCATGCTGATAGACTCATACCCAAAAAGACAATGCTGGAATACAATCAAAAGGTGCTTCAACAAAGTATTATTTTAAGGGTGTGCACACTTATGCAACCATATTATTTTAGTTTTTTTTATTTTTACTTCCCTCCACGTAAAAGATTTCAGTTTGTTGTTCAACCGAGTTGTACAGTTTATAGGTTAAAGGTGGAAAAAGTTCTGATATTTCTTTGTCTCATTTTTTTTTTTACATCAAAATGGCACTCATGGAATCCCCCCTCCAAGACTCCTCTCTCTCTCCTCTATAAATTGTGCCAGGCTATATATCACTTCTTTAAGTGTCTGGAACAGGTCAAGAGTACTCAAGATAGTGTATTACCTCTGCTGCCACTTCCAGAAATGTCTCTCTACTTCCTACCACATGGAAAAAACTGTATTAGAGTGCCCCCACTCTGGCTGAAGGAGCACAGGGTGTAACTTTTGACCGCAGCATTTTCAGTCTGGGGTGAGGGGAGTGTTAGATGTATTAGAGGATTTAAATACACTAACGGACTGAAACCGTACTCCAGCTCACATTTTATAAGCAGTTACAGCAGTTTTTTTTCCTTTTGGGATTAAGACTTTACATAAATAGAAATTATAATTGTAAGCACCCGTCAGTAGTAAATGGTGGGTCTCATCCCTATAAACTGGTACATTGTTCTTTTGAAAAACAACAGACTTACTGGCAGGATCACTAGGTGAAAATAGAAGAAAGCCTAAAAAAGAGAACTAATGCAGCCACCACATCTAAGAATTGGTAAGCTGCAATATAATACATTTTTGCTTTTGGGTTTAATGCTACTTTAATAGCATGAAAATATCTTCCAAATGAAATAAATATAGCAGAAGAGAAAGGGACATCCATTTTTCCCAAGGACATCAAGTCAAACTGAACATGTGGGAGGGGTATAGCCTTAAAGGGGCAAGCCTTCAGTTTTTTTATGTGGCTAGTTTGAATTTCTCCTGTAGGCGGCAGTATAATCCTAGGTTTTTTCACTATCAAGATGTGTACCTCAGTGGACGATAGAGACACTGGAAAATTACAGAGATAACTCAAGTAGATGTAAACCTTAACTGTATGACATTTAGCTTATTAAAGCACTGTAGAAATAAAAAATGCCATTTTTTTTTAAAGCTCCAGGTATAATCTTTACTGCAAACTTATATTGATCTAGCTTGGCACAATGCAAGTATGAATATCTAAGGGGCCGCTAGGGAAGCTGGAAATCACTGAAGTAGTATGTGCTGCTACAATACCATGATCTTTCAAGTCTCACTCAGATTCTAAGCAAGAGGCTTTTTAAATTATATTCATACATATTAAAGGTAATATGAAATTCCAGTGATTGGGTTTTACATATACTTTAACTGAGTGTGATAAACAGGGCCTACTTGATCAGAATTGGGCTAGCTGCCTCCCAGTTCTGGTCTATATGTATTTACTGTCTTTGAAAATTACATTTCTTGAAATTGAGAGGAAATTAAGTTGATGAGAAGAATACAACCAGTCTTTGGATTGTTGGCGATAGATCTAAGAAATGGTGAGCAACAGCTGAAATATACACAACAATTCTTTGAATTTAAAATGGCTAAAAGCTATCAAAATACACCAGATACAGTTACATTTGCACTACAATTTATTGCTAATTGCTATAAAGTAAAAAAAGCCAGAAGTGGTATCTAATGATACCATTAAGGAAGATTTTATGTCTTGACAGTTCATGTAAGGTCAACTAGTTGTCTTCTTTTTGGCACCAATAATAAACTGCTGCCAGTAAATGTAATACAACTATTTCTTTTTCTTTCCTTTCTTTCCTTTCTTTTTCTTTTTTGGAGCTCCAGACCAATTAAAGCCTCGAAATTCCAAACAGTCCACAGCATTGTGAGATATATAGTAAGCATTCATCATGGCAGCAGGGCTGAGTATGTCCACTTCAGGTTTGGGCTCTTTACTTTTTTTTGTTTTCTTTGACTTCTTTCCCTTTGTTTTCTTTGATTTGGCAGACCCCTTCGATTTGGCACTTTTAGTTGGCTGAAAAAAAAAGTAATCCATTTGTTAAATATCTTGTAGTGTTCATATTTATGAGATACAAAGATTACAAACACTAAAAATGTACTGTAGTTGAGCTTCAAGCAAACAGCTATATATAATGTACTAGGGGAAATGGAAATAAATACACCGATGATCTACATATATGTGTGATTGCTTTACCTGCCAAAGGGTTTTTATTTGTGTCAAACTAGGTCTGAGATTTATATAGCTTTATCACACAGCAAAGCCCTGTCCAGAAGGCAGGATATATGATTTTAATCTGCTGCAGGTAAGTTACACAAACAGGTCTTCTCTCCACATCAAACCATATGACTGAACTCTAAAAGCAGAAACAGCAGAGTAATCAGCTCATTTCTTGGCCACTCTCCTGCTCAAGAAATTCAAGACAGAATAAAAATCAATCGGGGTGTTCAGGCACAATGTCAGGAACTAAAGCACCTTCTGGTGGCATGGTGATCCTCAGAACTATAAGGTGTAGTTCCAGTGTCCACCAGTGGATGGCTCCCGGGGGCCAGCAAATGCTAGGGATTAGTTTGCATCTGATGTTGGTTGTTGGGCAGGTACTTAGCCCCTCATCTATCATTCCACAGTGCCTCAGTGTTTTGTGCTGTGAGCCGGACCTTCTGATTGTGATGCCCTGATCTTGCTTCTGTACCTGTTTCCCTGATTTCACTGCCATTACCTGATCCCTTCTCTGGCCCCCTTCCTGACCTGTTTGACCTGCTGTTCCTTCCATCTGCTGTCTGACCTTGCCTTACCTGATCTCTTCCCCCTAGCTTTGTATACAATATATTACATTATAGTTACTTTTGTTAGGTATTTTTACACTAGGTTTCATTTGCCACATGTGTTTGACTATTGCTTGTTAACTGTTTGTGGTGCAACATTTGTAGATGTTCCGTATAGCACAGCAGTTATTCGATGTTGTTGTAACATGCAGTTTCCCCTTGATCTCCGCTAGCCCTCTTCTCGTCCATCCCAGGTGTTATCACATATAAGAGCCTGGAACAGACAGTAGAGGAGGACCTGTTGGGAACAGTGCAGCAAATAACAGTATGTTTCCCTGCACCGCTCTACAAATCCATAACACAGAGTTTCTCAAATAGAGTTCCACCACAAATAAATATTGTGGAGGATGTATATCTGTCCAATGTTGTTTTCAATATGAACTAACAGTGCGCATTGATACCTGACCAACCTGTAGTTGTGGTTCATGTGAACTAAGAGGGTGGCATCAAGAGGAGTGCAGAGAGTGGGAACATGTGGCTGGATCAGGAGGTGACATCCTAGCAGCAGTGAATACAGACTGTGGAGGGGGGAAGCGGAGAGTGAGAGCACGTGAATGAATATGACATCCAGTGTATGGCAGCATTGAATGTAGACTGGAACAAGGCTGGATGAGAATGAATGTAGCAGGAGGTGAGATCATACAGTTAGGTTATATATATATATATATATATTTTGGACACAGGCCCAATTTTAGTTTTTTCAGGTATTTACCAAAACATATTCAGGCTATAGTTATATAATGGATATGGGCTGAAAGTGCACACTCTCAGGTTTCATTTGAGGGTATGTACATCCAAATTGGAGGAAGGGTTTAAGAATTACAGCTCTCAAGAATAGCCATCCCCCCTTTTTCAAGGGACCAAAAGTAATTGGACAATTTAATCAAAAGCTGTTTTATGGCCAGGTGTGGGCTACTCCTTCGTTATTTCTTCATCAATTAAACACGTAAAAGCTCTGGAGTTGATTCTAAGTGTGGTATTTGCATTTGGAATCTATTGGTGTAAACCTACATCATGCATTCAAAGGAGCTGCGCATGCAAGTAAAACAGGCCATTGTAAAGCTTCAAAAATGAAACAAATCCATCAGAGAGATAGCAGCAACATTAGAAGTGGCCAAAGCAACAGTTTGGTACATTCTGAGGAAAGCAGAACGCACTGGTGAGCTCAGCAACATAAAAAGGCACTGATGTCCATGGAAGACAACAGTGGTGGATGATTGAAGGATCCTCTCTATGGTAAAGAAAAACCCATTCACAACATTCAGACAAGTGAAGGACACTCTCCAGGAGGTGGGTGTATCGTTGGCAAAGTCTACAATAAAGAGAAGACTTCATGAGAGCAAATACAGAGGGTTCACCACAAGGTGCAAACCATTCATAAGCCTTAAAGAATAGAAAAGCCAGATTAGACTTTGCCAAAAAACATCTAAAAAAGCCAGACCAGTTCTGCAAAAGCATTCTTTGGAAGGATGAAACTAAGATTAATCTGTACCAGAATGACAGGAAGAAAAAAGTGTGGAGGAGGCTTGGAACTGCTTATGATCTAAAGCACACAACATCATCTGTAAAACATGGTGGAGGCAGTGTGATGGCATGGGCATGCATGTCTTCCAGTGGCACTGGGTCATTGGTGTTTATTGATGATGTGACTGAATTCTGCAGTGTTTAGAGATATACTGTCAGCCCAGATTCAGCCAAATGCAGCAAAGTTGATTGGACGGTGCTTCACAGTACAGATGGACAATGATCCAGAAAACACTTCTAAAGCAACCCAGGAGCTTTTGAAGGAAAAGAAGTGAAATATTTTGCAATGGCCAAGTCATTCACCTGATCTCAACCCAATTGAGCATGCATTTCACTTTCTGAAGCAAAACTAAAGGCAGAAAGACCCACAAATAAAGAACAACTGAAGACAACTGCAGTTAGCCTGGCAAAGAATCAGAATGGAGGAAACCCAGTCTTTGGTAATGTCCATGGGTTCCAGACTTCAGGCAGTCATTGCCAGTAAAGGATTCTCAACAAAATATTAAAAATGAACATTTTATTTATGCTTATGTTAAATTTGTCCAATTACATTTGAACCCCTGAAAATGGAGGGACTGTGTATAAAATTGATTGCAGTTCCTACAATTTTTACTTGATATTTATGTTCAACCCCCCTGAATTAACCGCTTCCATACAGGGCACTTTTACCCCCTTCCTACCCAGGACATTTTTCAGGTTGCAGCGCTCTCACACTTTGAATGACAATTGCGTGGTCATACAACACTGTACCCAAACTAAAATTAATTTTTTCACACATTAGAGCTTTCTTTTGGTGGTATTTAATCACCACTGGGATTTTTATTTTTTGCTAAATTAACAAAAAAAGACCGAAAAATTTTGAAAAAAAAAAACGTTTTTCTTTGTTTCTGTTAAAGTTTGCAAATAAATAATTGTTCTTCATAAATTTAGACCAAGATGTATTCTACTACATATCTTTGGTGAAAATAACCCAAATTAGTATTTATTATTTAGTCTGTAGGAAAGTTATAGAGTTCACAAACTATGGTATAGATCTGAAAATTGATCAATCCTGAAGTACTGACAGTCAATCTAATTTCTTGAGGTCCAAGAATGTCAGAATCGTACAGATATCCCCAAATGACCCCTTTTTGCAAAGTAGACAGTCCGACATATTTCATAAGAGACAGGGCGAGTTTTTTGAAGTTGTAATTTTTTTTGTCATAATTTTTCGAAAAATGAAAAAAATAATTTTAATTTTAATTTTTTTTTTTTTTTTTTTTTTTTACATACTGTCACCAGTGCAGTACAGCTTCATCTTATAACTGGCATGGCGGTGATCAGGGACACTGACTGGTGACAGTACGAAAAAAAAATTGATAATTTTTATTTTTATTTTAATTTTTTTATTTTTTAAATTTTTTATTACATTTTTTTTCTGGTTTTTTTTTTTTTCATATTTCACTATGACCAAAGTAGTATAATGTTACCATAGTAACAGTGTACTACTTTGGGGAAGTGATCAGTTTTTTTACACAATTTGCTTATAGCAAAGAATTACTTTGCTATAAGCAAGCATTTACCTGAATGACATCGATTCATTCAGGGGTTTTTTTTTGTTGTGCTTAGCTGTGATTTGGCAAGGGCTAAGCACACGAGACAGCTGGGCTGTGATTGGCCCAGCTTGTGCATGTGATCTCTGTGTCGATTCACAGCTAGACACACTTGTATACAATGGATGGCATGAAAGGAAGCCATCCATTGTATTCAACTGTCATGTGACCTGCTGTGATTGGTCACAGCAGGTCACATGGTACTGGAAATGGGGCCGGTACACAGATCTGTCATCGGCCGTGTCTGAGGTACACAGCCGGTGACAGGTCGCACCGCAGAGCGGACCTGCGGGCAGGTGCACAGCGCATGCCTGAAAGGACGTCATGGCGTCTGAGGGAAGGACGTCATATAGTCCGGGCGGCAACTGGTTAAAGCTGAAGTCTGCACTTCAAAAATTTGGATTGTTACGTTTTAATTCTGGTGGCCCAAAAGTATGTGTCCCGTGTCCAAATATATTTGGACCTAACTGTATTAGCTTTATGGGCAGTTATGACATAACATATAGCTAATATAATCTTACCTCCTGTTACATTCAGTCTCATCCAGCTGTGTGCTCCCCCTCTCTGCAGTCTGCATCACTGCTGCCAAACACTGGATGTCACCTCCTGTTTCAGCCATGTTCTCCCTCTCTCTGCTCAGTCTCCAGTCTGTATTGACTGCTGCCTTACACACACACAGTGCTCAGACTCTCTGCACCCCCCTCCCCCACACTCTGCATCACACCACTATACAGACTCAAGGGATCTCACCTCATGATCCAGCCATGGGTTCATGCTCTGTGTTCCCTTTCACTGTCTTGCCATAGGAAATAATACCTCCCCCTTCAGCTCCTGCTCTATGCAGTATCCCTGGCACTTCACTCTAAATTCGCAGGGGCGGACTGACCATTTGAGCACTCGGGCACTGCCCGAGGGCCCAGGGTCAGTAGGGAGCACCATGAGATGCCCCTGG